TATATGATTTAACTGAATGCAGACTTATTACTTCATACGGTTGCAACGACATGGTGATTAAGGTGACCAAATCACAGATAACTGACAGCACAGTTACAGTCAACCCCGGTAACTTGAAAAACACACTAGGCATGTGTGCCTGAATATGTGCCCAAAATCTGAAGAGAATGGAGGAAAAGGGTTTGCAGCATGGCCATTCCCCCCGGGATGCTTTTTCTCTCTCTCTTTCTTTGTCTCTCTCTCTCCTAGCAAAATTTTTAAAAGTTATCCCCGGGATGCTTTTTCTCTCTCTCTTTCTTTCTTTGTCTCTCTCTCTCTCTCATGAGTGCACACACCCCCTAGCAAAAATTTTAAAAAGTTATCACTATATATTAAAAAACATTTATATACAGCCCCATCTGCGTGAATTTTATTTTTAACTTACTGTGTGGTAGGCTACTGGCTCCCAGGTACTGTCTACACATTCCAGTAATGCAAGGGGACTTCACAGTTTGTGAGAAAATGGAATGAACAGTTTATTTTGGTACAATTTTTTTTAAATAATACATACTTTTCATGAACTTTTTGAACCTAGATTGAAAACCTAGATTGTATCTTTCCATTTATTTGTCATGCTTAAATAATAAAGATACACACGTGTATAAACATGTACAGGACTTGATGTTATTTTTAAAAATGAGATACTTTTCAGCACTTAATTTTGTGGAAATTCTCCCAAGTCTCTCTATGCCTCTAATTTACTTTTCTTAATGGTCCAGAACTATCCATGACCCCTATAATATACCCTGGTTTACTATTATAAACATTCCATGATTAATATAAGTTCACTGGACTGAATGTATTATTTTTCCACTATACAGAATGATGCAATAAATATGTTTATTCTTTTATCTTTTTTTTTAAGAATTATTTAATTCCATTTGTTATTATTTTTTATTTTGACCAGAGAGAGAGATAAAGGGAAAGGGAGCAAGCAAGCCACAGGTCTGGGACACAAACCACAGTCTGCCATATGGGAATTCAGTGCTCCTAACCACCACATCACTTGCCAGTCCCTTGTTCTTTTATCTTTATCTACTGGTGCTTTTTATCTTCATGGTTTAGATTCTTGAGAACATAATTGCTGGATCAAAACTTTTTCTTTTTCTTTTTTTGGAGAGGTGTATTTTTTTTTTTTTTTGCTATAGGGTACTTGCGTTCCCCAGAGACAATTTGTAAGTGAGAAATCATTCCCCAGGGGGGATGGCCACACCGCAATCCCTTCTCCTCCATTCCCTTCTCCTCCATTCTCCTCTTGGGATCTTAGGCACACACGCACACGCACCCGGCGTAAGTTTTAAGCCACCGGATCTGGGACTCAAACCACGGTCGGCTACATGAGAGTTCAGCGACATGGCCTTTATGCTAACTGCTAGTCCCAAAAGCTAGATCAAAGCTTTTTAGGATGTATTTTGCTAAACTGCTTTCTAAAATATTATAATCTTTTTAGGATATATTTTGCTTTTTAGGATATATTTTGCTAAACTGCTTTCTAAAATATTATAATCATTTACATTTCCATAGCGATACATGGAAGTCCTCTTTCTAGTCTTTCCCCAGGCCAGCAACATATGTCATTTGGATTTTTGTTAGTCTGGTCAGCATCAAGTCATTATTCTCATTGTTTGTTATGTTAACTTGCCATCTCTTATTGCAAGTGAGTTTACATATCTTTTCTTGTTTATTTGTCACATAGATGTTTTTCTTTATTAAATGCCAATTTATATTCTTTGACCAATTTCTAGAGGGTTTTCTTTCTTGACAATTTGTAATTTTTTCTATGTGTTACCATCTATCTGCCACTAGGTTCCAAATTTACCCCCTAGTTTTTCATCTATTTACATGGCTTGTATTTTTACCATAGTATAAAAATTGTTTTTTAGTACATATATATTGCCAGAGAACATGTGTTAACCCTAGAAAGACAAGGAGACAGAGAAAGAGGAGGAAGTTCTCACAATGGGGCATGTTCATGCTATTCTGTTCTCCATTTTTCCATCCTGCTAGGATTCCAACCATGCCAGGGCTAGGATTCCAACCATGTAGCTAGCTATATGGGATCTAGCTACAAGTGCGCAGCCAGAAGGCCAGCCTTAAAATTTGTATTCTAACACGTTTTTAAATATACCTAAGAGCTTGATAGTATACAGGTAAAAATTAAGAATAAATACATGTGCAGAGTGGCCAGATAGTGGCACAGCAGTAACACAAATAGACCCACATGGGAAGGTCCCAGGCCCATATCCCAGGGTCTCCCTGTGTGCACCAGGCATGCGTGTTTGTTCATGATCTGTGCTGGTTGAGCTTAGGGGTGGATCACAGTGTGAGGACACTCTTCAGGGTGCCACTCTCTCTCTCTGATTGTCCAATAAAATAAATGCTTAAAAAATTCATATACATATATCAGAACTAAGCTCTCAAAAGTTTTTAAATGAATTGATTGAATTTGACCAGACACGGACGACAGAGTAAGAGAAAGAGAGAAAGCAAGCCGTCAGGTCCAGAACTTGAATTGTGATCCATCACATGGGGAGTTAGTGTCCTTAACTACACTACCACTTGCTGGTCCCCCCCAAAAAATTTTTAAGGAGAAAGAGTTGCTTGATAATTGTCTCTGGCACATTGTGTTTGAACAACAGTTGATAAATAATTGAAAGGATAAGACTGCCAGTGTCTGAATTATGTATGTTAAGCAATGCAGCTATTGAGAAACTTGACATTCCAGCTGTGTCTTGAAACAAGATACCTAAAGCTAAGAACAAGCAATGGTTCATAATGGCAGGTAGTATAATTTCATTAGTGTCAAGTTCAGATTATTTTTAACATGGGAATATGAATCCTTAAATTATTAAAGACCTCCCTGTGGCTTGTAATCCATAGGTGCTTAGGAAACTGCTAATTATTGTTTGTGAATACAACCTCTTTTAAAGAGCCAGTCATCTATCCTCTATAATGGTAGTCTGAGGCAAGAATTACTCTCCTCAATACTTTGACAGCAGAAATATCATGTTTACTTTGCAATTGTGAAGTTCCAAAAGACAAAGACTATAAAACGTATATTCCAGACTGCCAAAAACCTTTGCCATCAATTATAGTGAAGAAAATGCCAAATATTTTTCTCTTCCTAATATACAGATTAACCTTAGCAAAAATAGCAGGCTTATTTTCCTGGGCAATTGCCTTTCTGAACAAAATTTCATTTACTCAACCACATGGGTTATGTTTAAATGGATGTGCCCTTTGGACTTCTTATATTTACTTTTTTATAGCTTTCTACATTTATGATTTCCTTTTTTCCAATTCCAGCAGTTGATAGGTTGACAGGCCTAGTTAATTGTTACAGATGAGGATGGTGCTTCTACCGCTGAATATTATGCATCATCTCTTTTTTTCTTTAGACTCAGTGATCACTTACCACTCTTTCTTGTGGCTTTGAGTAGCAGAAACTATGCCAGACTTGTTTTTTGCACCCTGTATGTCAAATGGTGTGCAACACCAATGATTGTTTTGCTATTTTCTTCTTGAATTTACTAGGAGGAAGGATAACAAAGAACAAAGGAACACAAGAAATTGAAGTACTAGTATCCATTTTTTAAAAAAAAAATTATTTATTCATTCATTTATTTTAATTTACACACACACACACAGAGGGAAAGTGAGAAAGCAAGCCACCAGCTCCTGGACCTGTATGGTGGTCAGCCACGTGGGAGTGTCCAGCACCTTAACCACCACACCACCTGCTGGTCCCCAAGTATCCATTTTGTTTTTAAATTTACTTACAAAGTATAGGAGAAGTTAGCACAGCACACGCAGGGGGTCTATTCTCACTCACAGTCTCCCCATTAGAAGCCTGGTAAATTCCTTCTACATTCAGTGTATGAGCTCATGGCAGATTCAAAGTTTAAAGGGTGAATCCAGAATCTACATATTGGATTACTGAGTACAATGTATGCATTATTCTCAAAGGTTGGCCTGAGGATTTATATTAAATTTATAATAGCCTAATACTTTGAAAAATAAAATCTATACCAAATAAAAACTTCATTGACTGCAGTGATCAAAATAAGTATATAATTAATTCCTTACTTTGATAAACTAGATAGAGGGGATTGCATTCCCTCCTCACCCCACCTTTATCTCTCCCCAGGGATCACACAGGCCCTGTGGTAAATTAGAAAGCAAACAACAATACCTCATGACTAAGTGAAGAAAATTCTCTCTGATCAGAAGCCCCTTACAAACAAGAAAAATTCAGTCCAAGAAAACCCTTACTACTACTATAAAATAAACCTGGAGACCGGCTGGTGGCGTGTTAGTTAAGGCGCTGGACTCTCACGTGACAGACAACGGTTTGAGTCCCGGACCTGACGGCTTGCTTTCTCCCTTTCCCTTTCTCTCTGGTCAACTTAAAAAATAGTAACAACAACAAATAAAATTAGATAATATTAAAAAAAATACCTATACTTGCGTCCTTAGCATTACTAGAAAGTGAACGCCAGTTAGAAATGGACGAAATCCAAGGAACCCCTAATACTATGCCTACGTTTATCGTAAAAACTTTTTAAACATTTAAGGCTTATGAATAAAGACCCGCAGAAGTGAATGGAATAATAAGAACTGCTTTATTAGAACTACATGGGTTGGTAAGGACGATGATGAATCCACTCTGAATTATGGAAAATCCGAAACTATACTCACCACCGCCTGAACGCTGCAAGGCGTAGTAGCCTTTCTCAGCCAGATCACTTTCCTTCGGGTAGGTGCTTTAGACGGAGAGTCGCTAGGTCCAAACCAGTGTTCCTGGGTCCTCATTGGACCCGTCCACAGCACACTTTGAGCATTTTCTTAGATCACCAATGAACGCTTTAGTCTAAGAAGAGCATCGCTGATTGGATATTTTATCCTCGCGTTGAATTGACGATCAGCCAATAGAAGAGCAGAACTGACGGGAGTTCCAGGGTCACTGGGAGAGTCTGCAGAGCTTTTTGCCACCAGCTCCTTCGGTCTTTGGCTCCTTGAGTGAGCCTGGTTGTTTGCAGTCACCGAGACCTGGGCTTCCCAACGGAGGGGGTTGGTCCGCACTTCCTGGGTCCCCGTGCCTCGCGGTGTGGCCCGGATGGTGCGGCAGGCTCTGGCCTTCTAAAGCTCTGGAGCGGTATGTGGGGTCTAGGGGCGGCAGACAAAGCGGTGCAACTGGGCAGGCCGCGCAAAGCGGGCCCTGAACCGAGGCGGAGAATCGACCGGGGAGGAACCGGGGGTACCCCGACTGCCTTGTCAGAATCCTGCAGTGCGCTCCACTGAGCCTCTTTAAAACTCGCTGCGCACTTGTGCCTTGTGAAATTGTTAGCTTTTACTGAACCCCTTATATCAGACTTTTACGAACCTTGGCAAACGTATCATCTCTCTTCAGATCGTTCGCTGTAACTTTCTGTTAGTTTTGTGCAGCTGCATGTCTCCAAAGAGCGGAAGGCCATGGTTAGGTTTGTCATAATTCAAGAGAGACTAGTGTTCACGTCTGTCTTAAAAATTGTTCTAGGAAGGCGTTCGTGTTAGCAAGTCCCTTCGTCATACCTGCCTAGTGTACTGAAGTGTCAGGACTGTGCAGAAGATATCTCAACACCTGGCAGAATTCACAGTATAAGTATTGTCCGTGTCTTGTTGTTGCTGGCATTGTTTTATTGTCTCGCGTTATTTTCGTTGATCCTGATAATGCTCAGGATTGTTACGTGAGGAAACAGGCTCTGAGGAGGTCATCTCACTTCTGAAAGAGTTAAAGTGAGTTGATAGTAAGGGTAGAGACAGACCTGATCTCAATGTTTATTTTATTAAAACTAATCTAATGAAGATTTAAGTTAATACACTCTTAGCATGTGAAAGCTCTGAATTGAATGGTGAGTCTTGCATTAAACAAAAGGAACTCTTCCAGGCATCTGTCAGCCTAATTACAGATATCTTACATGGATCATCTGTCTCCTTGCTTCTAGAAGTTGAGTCTCTGACAAGCAGCATAGGCCTCACCTGAAAGCATGTTGGAAGTGTTAGAATCTCAGAGCCCACCCCACTTACTGAATCAGAATTTGCTTTTTAACAAGATCCTATAGGATCTTGTTAAAATTATCAGAGTGGCCATGAAAGTTTGGGAAGCATTCATTGTGTTATAATGATTTGTTTGCCCAAACTGAACTGAACAGAGTAAATGGAAGTATACAGTATATCTCCCTGTGTTCTAATTAAACTGGAATGTAAAGACAAGGGAAAAGTTTTTCTTAAGTTCATTGTTTGATAGGCACTGCTTTTTAAAAGATTAAATGTTTCTATTGGTAATATCAGCTGAGCACACATAATAAACCTTAGGTAGACATGGATCTTTAAACAGTAATTCAAAACTGCTTTGTAAGGTATTAGGTGTTGGTCTTAGAAAGCAGGCTGAGACAAAGAAGTATTAGCTACCACTCCTGGAAATTAAATAAAATTTGAAGAGCCTTGTTTTTACCTCCATGTAATTTGTTCCCAAACTTAATTCCCATTATAATTTTCCCCTACAGTTTTGCTCCATTGATTCAGAGCTTCCAGTCAATTAATTTGGAAGGGAAGAATAGATTAGCTACAGTTTATGGTTTTTCCCGTTTATTTATTTGGTTATTTGAAAATAAAACTGAAACCTAGTCCCAAATTCACATAATTGCATGTTGCTTAGTAATTAAAGTCTCTTGAAGAGTTTTTTTTTTTCCTTTTTTTTACTTTTTGCTGTAGACTGTGTGTATGTTCACTGAAGAGAGACAAAGGGGGAAAGAGAAATCACCCCGTAGAGGGAATAGCCTGCCACCATTCTTTCTCCATTTGTCTGCTGGGATTTGGGGCAGCCATGCACATGGACCCAGCTTGTTTTTCAAACCGCTGGGTCCTGGCCTTGAACTGCCAAATGGGCTGTGTGGGATCCACCTGCCTTAGCCACCATGCCACCTGGTGGCCCACTTGTAGAGTTTTTATTTAGCTGCTCGTAACTGTGTTAAAAAGACCTGCATTTATAGACCAACGAAGTTTTACTGGCTCTTATTTGCACAAGAGATCAAGTGTGCTTATTAAAATGATAAATTTCAGACTCTGCCTCCAAAGATTTCCTGCTTTGGATTGGGGTAGGTCCTAAGAATTCGCATTTACAGTAGTCCCCATTTATTTTGCTATAGACCATCCAGGTCTACATTTCTTGGCATTAGTGTTTTAGGTAAAAACACACCTAGAAGAAAACTTAATTTCTCTTAGAACTTAAACTCATTGTAGAAGATAGAAGAAGCAAGATTTTATTTATTTTTTAATTCACATTATGGTTTATTGGCTGCTGTAGAAGTGCTCATATCAGTGTATTTAAACTATTTTATTTAAAGCTATTTTGAGATGTAAGAAGTAGGGAATAGAAAAAATAGAATAGAATAAGTCCTGACATACTAATTTTTTTTTTTTTGTAGAGGTTTTTGCTATAGGGTACATGCGCTCGCCAGACAGACAGAGACAGAGAGATAGAAAGCGAGAAATCACCCCCCCCAGGGGGGATGGCCAAGCTGCAATCCCTTCTCATGCATGCACACTCGCCCAGTGTGAGTTTAAGCCACCAGGTCCGGGACTCGAACTGCAGTTGACTACGTGGGAGTCCAGCGACATAGCTATTATGCTAACTGCTGGTCCCCCGACATACTAATTTAAAAGTATTTTTCTCTCTTATGAAGGCAGACACTTCTGTCATACAACTTGAGTAAAAATGATAGACTTAACAGAAAAACACAGTGTTTCTGATACATGACTTGAGCTTAAAATTCTAACTTGTTTATCTGTTTTTATTCTCTTAACTGTCCTATAGCCAACTCTTACAACATTAAATTTGTCAATTGTGCTACCCACAGACATAATGATCATTTAACAGGATTCAGACTATGGTGCTTAGAGAATAACTTGATGTCATAAGGAATATTAAAAGAAGAGGGCCATTTCAAGGTATTGTGGTTAGGATGACTGGGTCTCACAAGGTCAACTGTGTAGTCCAAGTTCCACACCCAGTGACGAAAAGCGTGCTGGGCATGTGTGCGTGCATGCTCAAGGTTCTGAGAGGAGAGATGAAGGGGAAGGGATTGTGGCCTTCTCCCCTTGGGAGTGCTTTCTCTCTCTCTCTCTCTCTGTCTCCAGTGAGTGCATGTACCTTTTAGAAAAAAAAAAAAAAGATTAAAATAAGAAACCAAAACATCTTTCTAATCTAAGGGCAAAGCTTAGCTTCCACTTGCTTCTCTGACCTTAATCTAAGTACCATGGGAAATGATGTCCCCTGGTGTTGCTTATCTTTTCCTAAGGTATTCCTCATTTGAGCCCTTTTCTTAGTGTGTTTTAAAGATTAGAAATTTATGTTGTTTGATTTCTAATTTTTTAAAGTATTTAATTTTATTAATTATTGTTATTACTGAATTTGATGAGAGAGAAAAAGTGAAAAAACAAACCATCAGGTTCGATACCTGACCTGTGGTCAGCCATGTTGGAATCCAGTGCTTAACCTGCATGCCACCTGCCAGCCCTGTATTTTTAATATATATATTTTTTCATGCTAGAGGGTACATGTGCATGTCATAGAGAAAGAAAGCTCCCCACAAGCAGGCCTGGTCATGCCACAATCTCCTTCCCTCCATTTTTCCTTCCATTCAGGATCCTGGGCATTTGTGTGGGTGCCCTGCATATTTTTCAAGCTTCAGACCTGGTATTCAAACCCTTCCACACTGTGTTTAGCCTGCTGTGTGTGTGTGTTTTTGTTTTTGTTTTTGTTTTCCCTTTATAAGAAAACAAGACACACAGGCAGATAGGTATTTTTTTTTTACAAGATCTCATTGTGTGGTGATCTTCCTTGTCCTAGCAACTCGGTTAGGATTACAGGCACACACCTAACCTGTTCAAGATGGCCCAGAAACCAAACAGACCTCTCGTGTGGCTTACTCCCTCCTAAGCAGTGGTGCTACCTGTGTACAACCATAGTTGGTTAGAAGGTTTTTTTTGGAGAGGTTTTTGCTATAGGGCGCCAGACAGACAGAGAGAGACATGGAGACAGAAAGCGAGAAATCACCCCCCAGGGGGGATGGTCACGCCACAGTCCCTTCTCCATTCTCCTCTAGGGATCTTGGGCACGCACACACACGCGCCCGGCGTGAGTTCTAAGCCACCGGGTCCGGGACGCGAACCGTGGTCGACTACGTGGGAGTCCAGCGACATAGCCATTACACTAACTGCTGGTTCCCTTGGTTAGAAGTTTTAACTATTTTGACTTTTTATTTCAAACAAACTGGAAGGCATTATCTTTTTTTAGAGTCATTCCCATTGAATAGACTTTCTAAGACTCCTTAGATTATAGGTCATATGCAAGCACCAGGTGTGCTCAGGGAGGTCCACGGATGGCTCCTTGACTACTTCGTTAAGAGTGGAATTCTTTTGGGATCAGCAGTTGGTGTAATGGCTATGTCGCTGGACTACCATTGTAGTCGACTGTGGTTCAAGTCCTGAACTGGTAGCTTAAACTCATGCCAGGCGCATGTGCGTGTGCCCAAGATCCTGAGAGGAGAATGGAGGAGAAGGGGTTGCAGTGTGGCCATTCCCAATTTCTCACTTTCTGTCTCTCTTTGTCTTTCTGGCGAGCACATGTGCCCTATAGCAAAAACCTCTACAAAAAAAAAAAGTGGAATTCTCCAGTTGCAAGGCCATTGTATGCACAAGAGCTTTACCCAGAATATTTATGTTTTCCTCATCGAGTTTATTTTATTTTTAAACTTTTTATTGTAAATTGACAATTTATAAGTGTCCGTGTATGCGTCTTTTTCGTTGT